CTCAGCGGCGAAAGAAACTCCCCTCGTCATCACTCACCCCGGTCAGACCCACGCAGCTGCCACTGTCGTCATGCAACACCCTTCCTGATTGCCACCTGCCTTCGGTTGGCCGTGCTCTGCCTTCAGCGACGATGGGGCGTCCACGTTCGCGCTCCTCCTGAGGTCGTGCCTGAGGCAGCTGGTCCCGGACAGCTACGCAAACCTGAGCAGAGAGCAGGTAGACGTGGCAGAGCTCTGGCTTGGCGCCACACGGCCGCGCCCTTTTGCCCTGATAGATGACCTGGATCCTCTTAAGCTGGCCGCTGCTGAGCGGGACGCGATGTTCCCTTCGCCGGCTGTGGTCTGGCGCTTGGGCTTGTCCATCAATGGTAGCCACACCCTCCAAAGCAGAGGCTGCGAATCGGGTCGCCTGTGAGAGGGAGGGGCCCAGTTCGGCGATAAGAAGCCTTGTGAGTCAAGTTGGCGCGACCGCTGATTAGGCTGCCACCTCCAGGGCAGTTGAGGAATCGGGCACGCTGAGAGGGGAATGGGAGAGGAGGGACACAGCAACTTTGTGTCTCTGGCCGCAGCTGAGGGAGCTTTGCGAAACGTGTGTGAGGCTCAACAGAGGCCGCCTGATCGCGCACGGTGTTGTTGCCAAGGCTGATCGGCGGACGCGCAACCAGACTGTATGCAAAGGTGAGATGAAAAGTTGCTCAAGGGTTTGTGTGCCAATATGCAATGATTCCTGGTGGAGAGCGGGATCGACCCTGACAGTTGAGGATAAAGCTGGTCAAAATGAAGGCTGAAGAGGTGCACGAGATCCACGTCGTGGTCTTGACCTGACTCTGAGCTGCCAAGTGCGCATGTGGAGTCAAAAGGTTTGGGGCCACAAAGTCGGCTGGGTGGCAGGGGCTTACTGCAGCTGGGAAGCACTTGAGCAGACGAAGAAGGAAGATTCAGAGGTTCCATTCTGCAGGGTCGACTGGCTGCCGCGCCAGCAGGTTCGGAGCTGGGAAGGAGCTCGTCGCTCTGCTGGGCAAATGTTCTCGCTGGGAGGGGCGCAGGATGTGCAGAAAAAGCCATTTCAGATGCCAAGGCCACGGAGAATGGCATGGGCTGAATGTGGGGACACCAACACGCCTGCCAGCCACCTGCATGGAGCGGACGCTGCTTCGAAGCCTGGGGATCACGCATGGGCACAATCCAAAGTCGGTGTGCAGTTCCACGAAGACGCTGGAGATAATGGAGCCAACAGCGCCAAAGTAGATGCACAACAAAACGTACCTAAGGGTGTCAGAACTGGAACCAAGGCAAGAACTGAACATGTTTCTGAGGAACACGCAGCAGTGCCTGTGCTGCCAAAAGCTAGAGGAGAAAGAGTGCGGGGTGCTACGCAGCCAACGCATTCTTCTCAAAGAGGAGGTGCCAGACATCCCAAGGGGCTAGGATGCGAAAATGGGTCGACGCACGAGCCAAAGAGGGAGCAGTGCCAGCGCAAGTTCAAGAAGCATCACAGTGCCCGCAAGTTTGGGATGTGCACACAGTTGTGTCAGTCTGAAGAAAAAGCAACAGGTCCTGATTTGTTAACGCAGGGCAAATACAAATGCTGCTTGCCAACAGCAGGACATACGCCTGAGCGCAAGACTGGGGCATTGATGCTGTTCAAGCATGCAGACAGGTCCTCATGTGAATCTGTGCATACAGCAGGCATGGGGGCCACCATAGAAGGTCGTCAGGTGCCTAAAGGACCCAAACTTTTGTCAAGAGAACAGCGCTGTGGGGGAAGAGGAGAAAACGCACCTGAAGGGAACTTCACCGCTGCCTTAGAACTGCTTTCACGGATGGAGAGCATGGACCCTAGCAGACTTCAGGACCTTGCAAAAATCATCACCAACAATGAATCGCCCTATCCTGAGAAGCTGGTCGCCACCCACGGCATTAACAGGATACTTGGAGGTGCAAGTTCACTGGCTGAGCTGGGTTGTTATTTGGATCAATTCATAACAGGTGAACTGGTCAGTTGTTTGCTGGACCTTGTGTCCAGCGGCGAGCCGCATGCCCACATTGCGCTGAATCTCCTTCACTTCTTTGTCTTCTCAAGCATGGGCCTAGATGCTGTCCTCGCCAAACCCGACTTGGTGCAGATGGTTCATGGCATATTAGCAGCCCACAAAAGGTGCGAGCACGAATTAGTGTGTTCTGCTTTATCATTACTAGTTTCCCTTGCTGGGACGTCTAAGGGTTTGCATGCGGTGGTTGGGGTTCGGGGGCTTGCAAACCTTCTTAGCGGCTTTGTATGTGGGTCCTCTTGGGAAATAATGTCATCTGCCATCGACTTGCTGGATATCTTTCTCAGCACCCCCTCTGGATGGAATAGCTTGCTGCCTAATGACACATTATTGGAAGCAATTGGGGCAATGCAGCGGCTCTCTTGTAGGGAACCAGGGTATAGTTGGAGAGTACGTTTGGCAGCTCAAGGTCGTTTCCTTCAATACTTGAAGGAGAGGCGGACACAACAGCATGAGCGCAGCAGCGCCAGAGAGTCAGGATGCCCGACTGATGAAAATGCAGGTGGCCTGACTAACTGTTTCTATGTCCTGTAGGGTGAAACATTCCTCTGTGTTTTTGTTGGCATTCAAGTCATCCAAGCCGGCAAAAGGATTTTCGGCACCGTAGATTCACATGTGGTTGCAGTGCACCTGACATGATACATCTATGTGAGTGGCCAGTCTAAACACACCATAGATTTCTTATTATTCTTCTTACGAATTCTGGATACGGCTGCTCACAAGACACACCCAAAAAGCCCTCACTGTGAACTGCACTGCCAATAACATGCCCAGAAGCAGAAAAAATGCGGGGCAACAACGTAACATAGAGTTTATTGATGTGGAAGGGTTAATACAACACAGTACAACGCTGTGGGGCGGAATGTGAAGGTGACGGCGCCTGTCTCCGGCAATTTGTCCTGTGCTTCCTTGCCTGTTGTATTTATTATAGAATGTTGATGACAAACTTGAATGATAAGTAATCTCCATGGCTGCTCATATGAAAGCAGCAGAGGGCCATCATTGTACATTTAGCTAATCGGCATTGGATTACCGACGGTCACCCATTGGCAAGAGAGCACACCAGAAGTGCTGAAGCAGGCGCCACCAGCATGAATGAGAAATTTTCGTCCCAGAGATGCGATTGTATCGAGATGTGCTTCAAAGAAACGGACATCTGTTCATGCACCAGAACAGTCCTTCCAAACAAAGAACGCGCAAAGTCCGAGTCAGGACTCCTCCCGGCAAGCGTGTGGGCTACTGGAGGATGCATGTTTGCCGCACACCTTTTGCACCGATGCCTACTCGTTCATGCGCTTCAGGCTATTCTGCAGCGCACATTACAGTGTCACACCCAAGATCATGCTGACAAGGGGACAGCCATTGGAGAGTTGGACCATCCTCACTATTTGTTTCCCTACTTCAGGCTTGCAAGCATAAGTCATCACACTGTTGTTGCAACAGTTCGTGCCTTGTGTTTAGGATATTGCAGTAATATTTAAAGGATCTGTGGACAGTAGTTGCATGGATTGGTGTATCCCATGGGAACTTCTGTACTGCAAACAGTGCATTCAATCACATGGGGTTACAGTCGTTGCTGCCAGGAAGCAAATTGATGCAGGTAGACACCCTTCCAGATCCCACTGTGGGATGACAGGACCAAATTTGGGGCCATCTGCTGGACCCACAACTGGCTCGTCAGTGCTGGCCTGCAGGGCTGCATCAGCTGCTAGTCAGCAATATGCCGTCTGTGTGATTGAACTTCCACAACCACTGCCTCCTGCCAAACTTTTGCAACAATGCTGTCCTGCGGACAGTCTGACCTGGGCAAATGCCATTGTCCGACTCGGCAGATGGGACTGAGCTTATGTGTTGCCCACTTTGTCAAGCAAGTGGAGGCAGCTTCAATGAGTATGACATAGCCTGATTTGGAAATGATCCCAGTAACGGATCACGAACCATCTTTGATGATCTTGTGGTCTGTTGGGCCCGCCCAAACAAGAATTAGTACCGGTCAGGGATGCTCCCAATTCATCAACATCCCTCGCACTAGACGTGGCGTGAAGAAAGAAATTCTGGCTTCAATGGCTTTGGATAGCCTGTCGACCGTGCGGGTGCCACAACGCACACATATGCTTCCCCCAAGGCTGTGTCTGCTGGAACCCTGGACGACGATTTTGCGTGCTGCCAGGCCTGGGCCCAAGCTCCGCATCTCCCATTTACTGCCTGCACACCACGCGTCACCAAACCTGGGTGGATGTGCAGGCCTCACTGTGACTGTAGGACACACTTCCTGGTCCTGCTCCCTGTGAGGCCCAATGCTTCGCTACAGCCTCCCGCTAAAGGCCAGAGGCACTCGAGAAGGGTGTCCAACTCGGCACAGCCACTGTCAGTGGCTGCTGCGGCGAGGCGGATGCCTTCCCGCTCACCGCTTGCACATGAGAACGATGAGACAAAGAGATGCGCACAGGTCCTGGGCTTGGCCACGAGAACCCCATCCGCGTCGCACGCCCAACGTGCTGCCCTCCGGCCCCAAGCTCAACTGGGGGGCGCCCAGCCCAGCAACGGACGACCAGACCGTCGTACTGAGTCCACCCATGTGTCAAAACCACCCCCGAGAGGCCTGCCCCTGAAACCATGACAAAGTTGGGGGACGTTGGAGATCGCAGATCGACCTGTCACTGCGGTGAGGCAGGGTTTGCAGTTTTTGGTGTTTCGCCGCGGAGGCGGGATGGCGCGGATCCCACGCAAAAGATTCGATAACCGCAGGTCCGACACGACCCCACGCGCCACTCACCGTGGTTCTAAGCCCATATTACTGTGGCGCCCCGCTGTTCGTTCCGCCGACCCCCGCTGCTGCCCCGCTCGTGAGCCGCGGACCCGCGGGCTGTGGGGGTCTCCTCTCGTCGTCTCGTCGCCTTGTCGTCTTGCCTGCGGAAGGCGGGCAGCGTGGCCTCCCTGCCGCGCCGGATGAAATTCAGCGGGCCCAAGAGCGGCCGCAAACGTGACAGGGATGCTGCCGTGGGCTATGGGGGGGGAGCGGTGACGCACCCCGCCCCATCGCCAACGAATTCGTCGTCCTCCGCTTCGGTGAACAGCAGGTGGGCGGGCTGGAGATGACCTCGCGACGTCTCCGACGGCGCGATGCGCGCATGCTGGCGCGCGGCGCTGGCGGAAACTTTGACGATCTTCGCGATTCTGGGAGGAGCATCGCGAGTCCGCGTGGCTGGATTGGCTCAAAGCGGCGCGCACGGCGCTTCTCGCGAGGCCCTCTGTCTCCTTTCCGGCTCCCGCTTCTTAACCCACTGCTGCGGCGTGTGGCTGCGCTTGGCACGCTTCCATAGCTGGTGCTGACGGTCGCGGTGTGAAGGTGCCCAACCGGGTGGTCAACGTTTCCGAGGTGCTAGAACAGAACGGCTGCCTCTTGAGACGGATCCATACCCGAAGGGCCGCGTCTGCCAGTGGCACAGTGCGTTACCGGTGCACGCCTGCCGGAATTGGCCTGGACGAGTCCGCGGACTCTCGGGAGAAAAAGCAGCGTGCCTCCCTTGGGGCGCGTGATGTCTGCCGCGGGCGCCGGACGGGCGCCCTAAAGTGCGAAAAGTTAAAACGCCTGGCAGCTCGAAAGGCTTTCTGGACGATCTTGCGGATTGTCACTCGGCATTCGGGGGCAGCACTGCGGCGTTGCGCAGCTTGGCGTGGCTGCACTGGGTGGGTGAAGTGGGTTCAGTGACTGGATGTTTGGTTTTGAGGGGACTTGCGGAGATGGTCACCTTTCGCAACCAGTAAGGGGCTGGCACTGTGAATGGGCGTCCCCCCCTTTCTTCTTTTGGCGTTTGGCTAATTGTGAGCACTGTGGTTCAGACCTCAAGGGAGAGGACTCCGCGAGGCGTTTCTGTCATGGCTGCACAGACTGGTGGCTGGGCGGGGGAGGAAGGTGTCTGCCACAGAGCAGTTGACAAGCCACAACATCGAACAATTGAGCGTGTCGTCAGCACAGGAACCCCCCTATGGTGCCAGGCAGCGCTTCAGCTTGAGGTCCAACAGTGACTCGATCTGTTCCTACCGGGTTTCCACCCAATCGAGGGATTCTGCAGTCTCCAAGTCTTCAACGTGAGTATTTGCCACTTTGCCAAACGATTGTTGGGGAGCAAATGTAGCCGTGCTGGCTTGCCATTTCCGTGATCTGCGTGGAGTAGGGTCAATCAATCATTCAATTTCCCCAGAATAATGCATCAACAGTGTAGTTATTGCCAGGGAGGAGCGAGGGTTTGTTGTCCTTGCAGTGGGACAGTAGCCTTTGCACGTTCATTACTTGCACAATTCCCTGTGCACTTGCTGATACCAAACTTTGTGCCATCCCCTTTGTTGGGGCAACAGAGACTTCTATTTCAGAGGCGGGAACAGCCGCCGAGCCGCACTCGACCTCAGTGATGGTTCCCAGTACCTCAGCGGGGCGGCGCCTGTCAGAGAAGTGCGGAGCAACACAAGCATCATCTCTGCGTACACACTCTTCAGAACCACGCACAGAGGAAGGTGAGCACACGACTAGATGTGATTAGTCTCTGTGTGTCTCAGTGTCACTGTTAGTGGGGAGCACACAGAGCCATCGCCCGGGCATTGGAGTGGCCCCTTGCTGCTTGTCTGTTGGCTAATGCCCGCTCACTGCCTGTGTTTCAGCCATGCGAAGATCATGAAGGCTAGGCACAAACGGACACATGAGCGGGTGGCACTGAAGGTGTACAACAAGGAGCAAATCGCAGCAATTCTGTGGCAAAACATCTCAAAGGAAATCAGAATCCTCACGATGGCGAATGGGTATGCGTGCTGGCTTTGACTGACAGGAGTGCTCATTGGCAACATGCCGTACCGATGGTGTGCCATTCCCTTCTCAGTGAGTGGGGAATGTGTGACTAGTAAACTGTGTACACCCCCCACCCCTGCCCCTCCTTTTTTCCCAAGCAGCGCTGGAGCCATCTGAATGTCCTTTCCTGTTGGTGTGTACAACACACAGCGAGCATGTACAGCAACAGTGCCGTATGTGTCAGTGGCATGCAAGTTTCCTGTTTCCTCAAGTGTCCAGATGACGTTCTCTGCCTGTCACTTGTCATGTACATTGCACGACGTCATACAATCTACATGGGATTCGATGTGGGTGTGTTCATATGGGCGAGCACAGCAGTGAACTTTGAAACATTCATTCAAGGACAATTGGGGTTGATAGAATGTGGCAGTAGGTTGATAAAATGTATCTGCAGAACCTGCAGATCTGTTTCTCACTTTGTCGTGTCAGTAGAATGCTCCCCGTGTTTTGCGTCAGGGCTCTTGTCAGAGTCCATTCTTCGCTTATGGACTCGTTGCAGAAGGTAACAAACAGGTTTACATGTGAGTTGAAAGGTTGGTTGGGCACTGGCATGCAGTTATGCAAGAAAGTCCATGTGCTTCTGTTTTAGATTGGGTGCCCAGGTGCTGGTGCTGGACATGGCAGAAGGTGTACATCCACCTCCCAGAATGCTCTTGATGCGATGTAGATGGTTTTGGAGTGTGCCCATCACTGGGTTTTACTGTCGGCTGGCAGGGTTAATGGCATCGTCCAGATGAGTGACTCTTTCGAAGACGACAACCAGGCGGTGGTGGCGCTTGAAGATTGCATGGGAGGCACACTTATAAGCCAGATGGCCCAGAAGGGTGGCCAGCTCAGTGAGCGGACCTGTGTCAAGACCGTGGTCAAGCCACTTCTGGAAGCATTGGCCTGGTTCCATTCTTCCGGAATTGTCCTGAGGTAAGTAAGGTTTTGTCATTGCACTCTATGGCTGTTGAACAAGTCGTGCAGGCAATACAGTGGTTACCAGATGCTGTAAATGTTGTTGTGGGACTGCAACTGTTTGAGAACATTTTGGGGGAAGGAAGGTTTTCAAGGTTCCCGTGGGGCCTCTCCCCATAGAATGTTGAACCAACGATGGCAATGGACAGGGGATGTATTTTGCTGCGATGCAGGGACCTGAAGCCAGAGCACATAATGTTCGACAGCACAGGCAAACTGCGACTGGTTGATTTCTTCTCTGCAGCCATCGTCGGGGAAGACTCTTTAGTCAGCAGGGAGGGCACCCTGGCATACATGGCACCAGAAATGGTCAACAGGCCCACACCTGAGGAGGTTTTCAACGAGGTAGGCATGTGGTGTTCGCCTTACAGTGTACATGACCCTTGCTGTTTAGGTTTTGTTTGTGGAAGCCAATAGTATGCTGTTGCAGAGCTGGCTTCCGCACATAGCTCGTTTGTCTACCATCTACGATTGAGGGTGCACATTGCCATTGCCTCTCAACTTGTGGTGCACACCCGATTTTGTGTGTCACGAATGCCCACAATTGCCAAAAGGACTATGTTATATGGTCCATGGGGCAAGTGCTCCTTCGTGTGGAGTGCTGCGCAAGAAAGTAGCGAGAGTTTGTGACGTTGTGCAAGTCCACTCAACTGTGGGATCTTGTTTGGGGCTGGCAAGTAGCCAACGAGCCAGGTGTGTTTAGGTTTGTGCACTGTCTGTTGGATAGACCAACAAATTTACACGTGGTGAGTGACTGGAATCTTGTATTGCCCCACACGAAATGCAACAATCAATGCAAATGTGCGTATCATTGAGCGTTTCCCGTTGTCTGCCTTTGTCACTGACTACAACGCGCTTGCCACTCTCCTGAACCTGGCAGGGAGTGCAGCATTAGAATTGTTATTGTGTTGTTATTGTTGTTGGCAGTTTCTTGGGATATAAGCAGAGCGAGAAAGCAGACAGACGTTTTTTGTGCGCTGCTGGAAAGGGAACTTGCAGGGCAGGCTGCTGTGAGGATCCAACGTCTGTGTTACCATTCCTGCAGGTGATTGGCAACGGCCTTTCTGAAGCCGACTTCCCAGCATACACAGAGAAGGTGGATATCTGGAGCCTGGGGGTCATCATATTCGAAGCTCTGACGGGGCGCCAGCCGTTTCTGGCTGAGACTGCCGAGGACATGAGGGACATGCAAGACAAGACTTTGGCTTCCCATGGCGGGCTGAGGACCTCTCTTGACAGCATCAAGATGAGGGAGTACATGTCACCGTGTGCCCTTGATTTCTTGACGAGCGTCATGAGGATCGATCCGGACGAGCGGCCTTCTGCAGAAGAGCTCCTGGACCATCCATGGGTGATGTCTGCGTGCAAGGCCCCGACCCCCACCGGCTGGGGACAGGACAGCACCGAGAGTTTTGTAAGCACAACAACATCGCGACAATGGGCAGCCAGGGTCAGGTAGTTCTTCCAGGGTGGCGTTGTGGTCCCTTCATTTTGGCGCAGGCTACGGCTGGTGTGGCTTTTCGTTGCAGCCGCTTTTCTTCTTCTTTTTACATTGTTCCGAGTTGTGGCAGTACTTGTTGCCTTGGAAGTAACAGCAGGGGATGGCAGGGCATGAGGGTACCGCTGTTCTCTGGCCGTGAGGTCAGGTTGGGGCAGCCATCTGGCTTGTGGAATGCTTGGTGCTGTATGGACCTGTGTGGCGATTTGTATGCTGGGCCGTCTGTTGCAGCAGAGCAGACGTGACGTAGACTAACGATTTAGAAGTGCGGAATGGCAGCATCTGCAAAAAAATGTATGGCGATTCTCAACATAATTCTTAATTCTTTCGAACGGTCTTGGCAGTGAGGTGACCAGACCGTAGGTTGCCAGATTGTGTGCCTTGTGCCACGTGTACAGTACAGTGCCGGCAGGGAGGCAAGGGTACATCTTGCAGGCGGCTGCATCTGTGACTGGGGGCCCCGGCTGCCCTTTGGCAGTCCTTGTGAGCCAATTGCAGCCTTCAGTCGACCAAGTCGTTCTGCGGGAGCATGTGGAAGATGCAAACGGCGTGTGTCACCTGGGCATTAGATAATCACTGTTGTTTGGGGTGTGTGCATGACACTGCGCTGGTGCAATAACAGCGTGCATAAGAGCAGGATGATTTTGGGGGGGGACGTCCCTCTGGGGATATTGGTTGCTTGGTTGCAAGGGTGGTGCTGGCATGGCGTGGCAGGGCAGGGAGAGCCCGAGTCCCCGCAGTCCGCAGCGCCGGTGCAGCCAGGGGTGCGCGATCAAGGCGACCGTGGGTGCGCAAATGTTGGCGATGAGGTGGAATAACAACTTTGAATTTCAGTTGGAAGGTGTCCGCTCCATTGAGATGGATCAGCACGTCACTTTGTGCTGCAGAAGCGGTGGCGATTGCTCTTTTTGCATTGCTACGGCCGCCTGCAGGGCAAAGCCGTGTGCACTGAAGGATGTGGAAGGAGCTGAAGGAGGTGGCAAGCCATGTGCGGATTGATACAGAGGGAAGGCTGTCCAGATAGTGCACAAGGTTCTCCCGTCTGTTGACTGGGAGGAGTTTATTTTTTTCCCATACCCTGGTGTTTCAGCAGAAAGGCCGAAAGATCGGTTCGCAGTGTGCAATTCACACTGGACAATATTATTTCATTTGGCAATGGAGAGTTGATGCCATGGTGCATTTTTGTGACTGGCACCACTCACGAAGGGACTTTTTTCAGTGGCGAGTAAGAACGGACTGTCCGGCGTCCGTGCTGTTCATGATGTGTTCAATCATGATGACGTTGATCAATCATGTACGCCACTGCAGGGGAAATTTGTAAGCGATTCGGCTCTGGCATAAATCCGCGGTTTGTCATTTGAGAAACAAACGCAACTGCGCACCCATTTTCCTGTGCTGCCTTGTGGCGGATGTGCCAGCAAAGGATCTCCTTGATGTCATTCTTGCAAACGCCACGGTTGTTCGTGGGCATTGGGCGATGCGTCGGCAGGACCAGCACCTGTCCCTTGAAGAAGAATGCACCACAGATTCTCATGTGGACGCGTGCAAATTCTGCACCAGCCGCCAGGAACGCTAGACGTCCACCCCAGTGCTACCAAAACGCTCTTCACCCCAACAGGACGCAGAAGCAGTGGAAAGACCGGGGGCGAATGCCAGAGAATACAAGAGGACGTGTTCTATCGTGGAAGGGAGCACTCGCTACACTGGAGCCGTTGGGTGCCAGCGGCCAGATCCGACTATCCAGCTGGGAGGGTTCGACGGCAGCGACATGCAGGGCACTTGCGAGGCTGTTGAATGGTCTTCTGGGAGGGCGATGGCCTGTTAAACGGAACCAATTGGAGTGGGTGTTGCCACAACCTCGTCCACCCCGCTCTGCCTAACTGTGCGCCACCAACTCCCAGCGGTGTTTTTCACGCAGCACCAGTGCCTGCCTGGCACCTTGCCGCTTGGCATCTTCCTGTCATGCAAAAGTTGAAAGGCTCGGCCGTGCTTGTTACACTGTCCTCACGCAGCTGGCGATGGTGCCCTGGTGCTGCAATACCGCACGCTGGGAAAGGAGCACGGAGCACAGTGCACAATGAAAGAAGGCACAGGACAAGGAGCTCCTTCCATGCATTCTCTCGTGAATCTGCACGCACCTCAAGTGCGCCTTCGCTTCTCATGTGCCCCTGGCCCATTCTCCAAGGGTCAGAGATTGGCGCATCCCGACGCCCTACCTCGCCCCTAAGAATTGTGCTTGAAAAATTTCATGCTCAGCCAGTTGAGGAACACCTGCAGGATAGAAAACGGGAACGTCAGCTTCAAGCTGCACACTTGACAGTCTACTGAGCAACTCTGCGGTGGAAGGCAGGGCAGGACGGCTGCCTTATCAGCCCTGGAGAGCCTCGCACACTTTTCTCACTGTCCAGCCACGACCACTACGCATGGAGGTCGCGCCGCCCCTTTCATGCGCGTCCTAGGTGCATGGCAGGTTGACGGTCACAACCGAAGAACTGTCAAGTTAGTGCTGCGCTGGTTGGTTGCACATTTCCAAGAACCCGGGCACAAAGCTTTCAGCTATTTTCCAGGCAATTCATAATGATCCCACAGGAATGTGCTTGTTGTGCACAGGGATGGTAGGATGGAGACAACACAAGTGGCTTGGACAATATTTTAAAATGCTAGAAATTTTGAAGCATGGCCTTCCAATGCAAGGTTTGTTCGTGCAGGCAGATACCACTGACAGCTTTTGAATGAGACCAGTCTCCGCGCCACCTATAGCCACTGCACCACCCAGACCATCTCACCGCTATTATGGTGGCTGGCACAGTGATGGGAAGTAACATGCAATAGTACCTAAACACACAGAACACAGGGTGATCGCAATCATCAGTATGCAACACGTAATGGCAAGTCTTTTCCAGACAAAGCAGATGCTCTTTCCTTTTCGAATGATGATGTTCTGCACCCCTCCGTGCAGCGTTTTACGTTGCCCTATCTTACCAGTCGCGCTGCGCCCATCTAAGTAAAGGGCTCTCCGCCAAGGGAAGAAGTTTTGATACCTGCCATTTTCAAACACACCTGATCAGTTGGTGAAATTTGCACTATCAGCAGCCACTGGAATCAATTTCTGATGATATCTGTTGAAAATTTCGCTGTAGCCGCCTGTTGCCATTCATAAATTCATGTCTTCTGCCGGGCTAAGTTAGTTATGCACTCATTACATTCATGCAGTCTTGTACTTATCAGATACAGTAAAGTTCTTGTTCAAGTCTAGGAACTGCAGAACATTGTCATGAAATGTAGAGCAGCTGTGGCTGGGGATTTGGTGCATTAAACAGCATTCTTTTGCTGAACAGCCAGCCTGCCACATGATGCAGGTTTATGTCATCTGTGACAGCTGCAGATGCCGCAACCCTCAAGGTGTCCAGCAATAGACATTTCAAATGCCCAAGACCCACACTTAACACAAAGGAGTACCAAGAACCTTACACCGTGTGCTTTGGCCAATGTGGTGCTGACCTTGCCTCATGTCAGGGCCACCTGTTCAAAACGTGGCCTGCGCAGAATGTGTTTCCCTGAGAACGCACTGTTGTCGTTGTCCATGTGAGCATCAGACCAACTCATTTTCCCAGTTCTGTGAAGGGGGAGCGTCTCCCACACGCACATTTCTTTTGGCATATTTTGATCGGGCTGTTGATTTCACTGCCTTGGGGGAACACTTCTAAGGACTAAGGAGACTAAGGGGTTCTGGGTGATTGTTCGGCTGCAGGGACTTGTTCCTTTTCTGCACTGCTATGGGGCTCAGGGGTTCGGGCTCGTGAGGCTGCCTTCGGCTGGATCAGAAATGGGCTTCGTTTCTTTTCCCACTGAAATGATCAGTTAGACGTACGCATGAACAACATGTGCATATTGTGTGGCAATCTGAACACAATTTGACTTAAAAAATGGTTCTTGTTGTGATTCCACACAAGGAAAGACATAGTCTGCTTTAAATGTCCTTCTGCTAAGCATGCATTGACTTTGACATCCACATTCACATATCCACAGACATACATGCAACTTTTCCTTGCCAGGACAGGGTGCTCCAATTTACACTGTGGTTTCTTGGGATTTGACAACACATCCTGATACACACACACTTGTTGCTGAACAGAGCTGATCCTCACCGCGACCCAGTAGATCTCTATGATGAAGAAAGAAACGCCTGCAGCGATCAAAGATGCCCTGCCACCAAAATCAATTATATATATCAGAAGAGATCATGAACGCCAATGACAAGGGTTCAATGGCTCCTGCACCGTGAAGCCTAGTCCACGTACCCACACAGAAAAAGTGTCCGCCGTTCAGACCCATCTCTTATTGCAACGTTGTCTCCCTCTTGCAGGAGATCCTGTTGTTGGCATGTGTGACACAAGCAACTCGTGAACTCGATGAGGCATTGGAACGCGATCGGTGACGCCCGGCGCAACCTTGTGGCGTCGCACTCTGAGTTGGTGAGTAGACGCAACCCTCCTCCAGCTGCGCTGCAACTTGGTTGGGTTGCTCGAGCACGGGCCGCCTGGCGCGTCCCGCCCGATGGTCTCTGGCATTGCCCTTGGCACCCGCTGCGACACGAGGCACACCCTTGGACATTGCACACCGCGGAGGATTACTAAAACTACGCCCTGCGTATTAGGTGCGGGGGTGCCAACGCCGAGAGCATGTTCGGACGTCGACTGACTCCAGCCGGCGCGAGCGGGTTTGTCGATGGACCCGGGGCTGTCCAAGTTCGTGGACTGTGAGTACCTCAGCGCGGGTTTTCTCCGCCAGGGTTGGTTGCCTAGCTCGCTTGGCTCCTGACGGAGGCGTGTGCTCGCAGCTGTTATCACGGTGATCACAAACGACGGCCGCGTGATTGTGGTGAGTGGATCGGCACCCAGCCCAGGGAAATGCTGTTGGGCCGCCTTTCCTCTTTGCGGGGCTGCTCTGTAGCTGCGTGTCTGACCTGTGTCCCAAATCCTGGTCAGGGTACGTTGCGGGGCTACGACCAGACGACCAACCTCATCTTGGAGGACTGCCACGAGAGGGTGTACTCGACAAAGGTGCGTGCGTTGGGCACTGGACCTGTGTTTAATGCTCATTTTGCACCTGTTTCGATGCCCTGATCCTGTGGGTTCTTGTTCCGGTGCAGTATGGAGTAGAGCAACTGGTGCTGGGACTGTACATCATCAGGGGCGACAACGTGTGAGTATTTGAGAGCCCCTGTGCGCACAATGGGAGCCGTGCTCTCAGCGGTCTCGATTCCTGGGAACAGGGGTGTGGACCCGGGCGACGTGCCTGCGCACGAATTGGCTTAGAAAAAAATTCGCGAAAGTCCCATTGTGGCGGGTAGAGTACTTGATGCCCCTGAGCACGGGCACAAGGCACCCCCACTCAAAGGCCCTCTTTTTTCTGCAGGGCTGTTGTCGGCGAGATGGACGAAGAGCTTGACGCCCAAATGGACTTGAGTCAAGTGCGAGCTGCACCTTTGAAGTCCTTGGTTCACTGACTGTTGCTGAGGGTGGGGACCAACGAGAGTCTTGGGAGTGGCCATGGGAGCTCTCCAGCAGTTCCAGCTTGAAGGCCTCAGACATCTGCTTCGTAATTTGTGGATGTGAGAGCATGCAGCAGCCTGAGGAAACACGTGCTCCGTGTTTGCAGAGCAGCGATAACAGTCATGCCTCCAGGGTGCCCTGGAACAGAAGTATTCTGCTGGAGAGAATGCTGGGGCTTGAAGATTGCTTCCCGCTTGATGGAAAAACCCACGCATAACACTATCTTTTGAACTTTTGCTGGCATTGGATGATGCTGCCCAGTTGCAAGGCCTGATTTGCCAGTGCTGGGCTGCTGCTCAGAAGCACCCCTCAGCAGCAGTCGATACTGACATTGTGGTTGGCACAAGAGGTGTTTTGCATTTACATGAGCGGGACAACTGCTTTTGGTGACAGTTTTCACAAGGCATGGTCATGTGTGCACTTGTCACAGCCACACACCTGTGTGTGTCAGTGTGGCTGCATGATGAAGTCGCAAGGGCACACTGACCAACCACGACATGAGATGTCAAGGTGCTTGGACTGGGATTTTCTCGCTCATCTTCTGTGATGTGTTCGTCATGGCAGCAGCAACCCTATTAATAGTGATCGGTATTGCCTAGTGCAGACAGGCAGGAATTGGATCATCCCCAGTATCCTGAGGATGAGGAATTGAAAGACGTGCTTTGGATCGATGCATGGAATTCTCATCTTACTATGCATCCTAGGAGCTGGATCGTCCTTGTAGCGCGTTGTGTTCCCAGAAAAAATAAAAAAAATGCCCTTGCATGCTGTGCAATGCACTTTGTATGCAATATTTTGCTCCGGTTGCTTCTCACCAGCATCATCCGCCAGCGCATTGTCGTTGGCAGCACTTATCTGCACATTGTAGTTAGCAAGAAATGCTTTCAGCAAGGCTGCAGACGACCAGATGGACGCCCATCCTTCGTGCATCATCTCACCATGCCCTGCCTCCTCTCGCCAACTCACGTCTCCACTCCCACTCCAACGCTGTGGCAGTATGATCATATGTATCCGCGGCCATTTCGGGTTTTCTCAAGTGCAATATCAGCAAAATTTCGTTGCCTTGATGGCCGCCATGTCATGCTGAATTCACAAATCGCATTCAAGTGTTGGGACAGGGGTCCACGACTTGGAACCACGAGCCTGGGCATCACTTTCCACTATGTGCTGCAAGCCCACTGAGACACGAGCCCACCGTGGGCGCCATTCCACCATGCATGGTCGCCGGGCGGTTTTGAGGCACACAAACAGGGCTGCAGGAGTGCGAGTCTTAACCTGATGCCACACAGGAGCTGGTTTTTGGCCAGATCATGTCGCCCGGAGTCCGGGGCCAGGGCAGCACCGGCCAGGAATGCGACCAACGCTGTCACCACCCCGGCCACCACTATGATACACTCTGATGGAAAGGCCATCCTGAAAAATGCCTGTCCTCCAAGTTGTGATGCACTGCTTTGTGGAAACCCCGCCCCACAAACAATTGCACGAGCAACCGCATAGTGCCCACCGTTTGAGCGTTCTACGTGCGCATCATTGCACTCACAGGTTGTTGCCACAAGATCGGCCACTCACACCTTTGGCCGTGCCCCCATCCATCCCCACTGCTGATAGTATGAGCAGTTGGGCTTCGCGCACAGTCAAAGGCTGTGAGCGGCAGATCCAGGAGCAGAGGGGAAAGGAGAGCGAGCTGTGCTGAAGGAAGGGCCGTAGCCCTTTGAGACGTCGGAGCGTCAACAAGGTCATTCAGTTTGCATTGTCAGACAATGCATAAGATGTTGGGATGTGTCTGCTGTGGGGCGTATGGGATGGACATTGCGTATTGTCTCTGAATGGAGGGACGTACCAGAGGCAAATGGTGTTTGGACGTTCGTGGCATGCAGCTTCTCGGCTTGGGCTTGTATTGTCTCACCCTGCCATGGCAGCGGTCCAGGCCACAATTGATATTGGCCTGTTGTCTGCTGTCCTGAGACACTGCCCACACTGGGAAGTGCCTGCACGGACACTAACTCTGCTCTGTGCCCGCGTGGTCCAATTGCCAGGGGGCTGTTCCACAGGTAAAGGCCTGCCTCTGGGAGCCCAGATCCTGGAGATCGGTTCTTGGATAGGCAGCGCCCATGCGGCACTTTCCCTGGGGCGGTGGAGTTGGCTTGACATGCTAGTCCACCCAACATTCTGCGGAGGCGTTTGCGGGCACATCTGTGCACGAGCAAAGGCTTGGGGATTTGTGGTAAACATGCATAAAGACATCGGCTGTCCAACAGTTTCATACTTCTGAGTACTGAAGTACAATGCAATGGCGCAGGTCCTATTATTCAATGCATCGTGAATAATTAAGCTTCTGAGAGCACACAATCCCGCCAGCCGCAGAAGAATGGGATCACCAAGAGGTATGCACCTCACCATGTTCCATATATCTGGTGAAGAGAAATTGAGTCGCAACCATCTTCAGCATACGTTGTTCCCGAAGACGTTCCAGCGGCCTTTCTGCAGGTTGTGTAGCGCAGAACCCAGGTGTTCCAAAATCCAATCTACCGTGTCAAGTATTTGTCCATTCGCCCCCAAGTCCGCAAGCAGACCAGCACTCCTGCCGCAAGGTGCTAGAATGTGAGTGATCGTCACGTGTCTCGCTAGGCATGATAGAATATTATCATTTCCTGGCACAGTCGCGCCAATGAACCAGACTGGCATCAAACGTTGAATATCAACTGCTCCAGCGACCTGTCTCTTGGCGCTACACGCAATCAATGGCATCACTGTGCCGAAGAAAACGAGTGGATTCCTAGGTGCCACAGGACACATGGACTTTGGCAACTAAAACAAAAATCTCGAAATGCTGATGCTCAGCCGGCTTTTCCCTCTGATTCAGCCTCTGGCTGTGGCTCAGCTTCGGCTTTTGTCTCGTACCCAGACTTGTTTTCTTTCTCAGACTCAGACTTCCCCTCCGATTCCCCCTTCGGTTCGGCCTCTGCTTTCGCCTCGGGCTCAGCTGTTGGCTCGGATTCGGACTTCGGCTCTGACTCGGAGACAGGTTCAGGTTCCGCTTGGAATTTATCGCCAGACGTGTCTCCAATGGCAGACTTCACAAAGTTGGATGCCGTTTGGCCCTCGGGAACTCCATCAGCCAACTTGGACAACACGTACTCGAAAAGCGGTCTGTCCCCCGCAGACGCCTCGCTCAGGAAAGTCCTCCCGAACAGGAATCCCGGGCGGACCTCCCGCAATTCGTCCACCACGAAGCTGGACATGGATTCACTTGGGTACCTCACAACCCAGGAGTCGTTGGCGTCCACCAACCCTGGCGCGAGCGAGACTGTTCCCGACAGATCCTCTGGCTTGAAAGTGTCCTCGTTGCGGAGAACATTGCGCACACCGTCTGCTTCATTAAATACCTTGCCAATCCACTGCGATGTGAGCACGCCCGCCAGGGCCTGATCTTGGAATGACATGTTGAAGGCGCTCACGTCTGGACCACCCAAAAGTATGAAGGCTGCGCATGAAGCAAGCCAAAACATCAAGGTCTGATGCACAGAAGACAGTACTTACTCCGTGGACAGCATAGGACACAGGAGGGAGTTGATCTGCTGCTATACAGTGGACCTTGGACATGTTCAACTTCACTTCGTTGTTGATACGACAGATTAAATTCTGCCCCAACAACGAGATCAAAACTGTGAGGCGCTGTGTGCTGGCAGCCATTATGCTCTGGCAGTGGGATACTGCAATCGTTCGGTGTGACGAATTGAGGGAGAGAGGAATTGGAAAAGGGAGCAATTGTTCAAATTAGTTAGAAACAAAATCCGCTACAGTGTTTGCCAGCGCAGCCGTTTGCAGATAGACTGGGGAAATCTCTTCCAATTTTCAGTACCCCAAGCCCAACTCGAGAAGAACGCAATGCATTGTCGGCTTTCATGGTCAATAGTCGAATGCACTTGAACGCATGGCCACAGCCGTATGGCTGCAGGCACAATTATTGACAGAGCTGGCACTTAAACGACAACACTAAAAATGCATTTGACAGTTAATCCAAATTGCTGGTACTGTTGTGCTCTCAGACCTCGCTTAAGCCATATGATCATGCCTAATTCCTGCGTGTTCCTTCCCAAAATCCACAGGAAAATACATCAATTGTACTTCATTCCCACATAACCACCATCAAACTTCGGTGCACTGATATTGTGCGTCGATCGGCAGCTATTGCTTACTGAACGTCACCCAAGCTTGGATTGAGCCAGGCGATTCATAAATTTTCTAAGCATTTTGCTTGCATATACAAAATTTTCACTATTTTCTTGCACGTAGGGAAATGGTGTAGAGAGTATCGAGGAGGAAAAGCCAACTTCGCGATGGGCGCCGGTGCCATGGCTACATCCTTTCCAGAACTGTGTGAGGTGAGACGCGCATCATGCAAGCGTACTCCCTCACCTGTATAGACTCCTTTCGGAGCTGATCCAGCAGTGGCAGACTCGAAGGCTGTGTGTCGCCCATCTTCATCCATTGAAGCTAGCCAGATCTGGAAACTGCTGGCATCTTTGAACACCTTTGGCACCTTCAAGCCTGAGCCTGTGAGCCGACGACAGGTCACCCAAATAAACAAATGAAGGAAGCTAGGGACCGCTCTGTGCAGCCGCACATTTGCACTGTGGTGTTGCAGCGCATGTGACCTTTCATGCACTCACGTGGTTACCCCGCCACGGGGAAGGACAGCACCGTGACAGCAACAGTCGATGCAGCCAACGTGGTGGAATTTGCCGCCAACCCAAAGGCAACTTCCATCCGATGGATTCCACAAGGGCCTGGCCTGGATCAGAAATAATCATGACTGCCACAAGGACATGAACTATGTATTCCTCTTGCAGCGACCTGCAACCAGCAAGTAAACAATATCATACTTGGCACTTCATTGACAATTCTCGTCAAATCTCAGCTGGCATTAGCTCACCTTCGGGTTTGGGCTCAGCTTCTGCCTTCGGTTCGGCTTCCACCTCTGGTTCAGCTTCTGCCTTGCCCTCAGACTCCGCCTTAGGTTCGGCTTCGGCCTTCCCCTCGGATTCCACATACGGTTCGCCGTCACCCTTTCCCTCCGATTCCCCCTTCGGTTCGGCTTCTGCTTGCGCCTCAGACTCGACTGCTGGCTCAGATTCGGACTTCGACTCTGACTCGGAGACAGGTTCAGGCTCCGCTTGGAATTTATCGCCAGACGTGTCTCCAATGGCAGACTTCACAAAGTTGGATGCCGTTTGGCCCTCGGGAACTCCATCAGCCAAATTGGACAATGCGTACTCGAAAAGCGGTCTGTCCCCCGCAGACGCCTCGCTCAGGAAAGTCCTCCCGAACAGGAATCCGGGGCGGACCTCCCGCAATTCGTCCACCACGAAGCTGGACATGGATTCGCTCGGGTACCTCACAACCCACGAGTCGTTGGCGTCCACCAAACCTGGCACGAGCGAGACTGTTCCCGACAGATCCTCTGCCTTGAAAGTGTCCTCGTTGCGGAGAACATTGCGCACGCCATCTGCTTCATTAAATACCTTGCCAATCCACTGCGATGTGAGCACGCCCGCCAGGGCCTGATCTTGGAATGACATGTTGAAGTCACTCATGTCTGGACCACCCAAAAGTATGAAGGCTGCAGGGCAAGCAAGCCAAAACATCAAGGTCTGGTGCACAGAAGACAGTACTTAATCAATGGGCAGGACAGAATAGGTGTAGAAGGCAATTAATAGCTGCAGAATGTTTCCAAATGACTGATTTTCTCTCCCGTATACAACAAGATCGAAACTACGTCCCACAAATGCGACCAGCACTGTGCGTTGGCAGCCACTACGCTCACATAGTGGGCAGCTTCCACGATTCAGTGTGAAGAACCAACTTGGAGAGAAACCAGCAGAGACTGTCGATTGATGAACACCATCAGAAAACTGGATACCGGTACATTGCGGAACTTGCCAATGCTGCCATTGGCATAACAGTAAGAACATCCCTCTTCCAATCTCCAGCAGGGTGTAGTGCTTGTTCTTTGAGCGTTGATAGTCGTCTGAACGTGTGCACATGGGCCGCAACCATGATGAGTTAGTGTACAAGGAAAGAATGCATAAGCACTTCCATTGACTTGCAGTTTAATCCAGTTGACCCTGTTGTGCTCTTAGACAGTATCAAACTATATGGGCATCTGCACTGCTTCAATCTCCATCCCGAATCCAATGTGAAATAAGTTGTTGTATTTTCCCACAAAATAGCCATACAAACTTCTGCCACTAATCTCATCCTTCAACCAGCAGCTCCTACTTGCGGCATCAACCCAAGTCAACTCCATGAACTCCTGAGCGCATTGGTTTGGTGGCAAATCTTCATGTCGTTTAAAAATTTTGACGACAACATCTTGAAAGACCACAAACAGTGCTGTGCGCCTGAGCTCTGCGAAACTGACTGTTCAATCTTCAAGTTGCACGCTGCACCCATCTGTGTCAAGCGTTCACCAAGGTGGCCTAGATGGCAAGGGAACTGACGAACAGTGAAAAGAGGAACAGCGTGTTCTTATTAAATGGCTGGAAGAATTTCAAATGTTGGAGCACTTTGTGGAGTTTCGTTGCATGGCCCCAGGCCCTTTGGAGGTGATTTCCTGGTGGCTACCTATGTTGGGGACTATGCTCTGCGCAGAATTATGTCAGAGGCGATGCGCATTGCGCAAGCGTACTCCCTCACCTGTATAGACTCCTCTCGGAGCTGATCCAGCAGTGACAGATGTAAAGGTCGTGTCTCGCCCATCTTCGTTCATCGAAGCTAACCAGCTCTGGAAGCTGTTGGGGTCTTTGAACACCTTCGGCACCTCCAAGCCTTTGCCTGCAAGCCGAGGTCAGGCCACTCAATTAGACCAATGAAGGAACCTAGGGCTCGCTGTGCATACACACAGCGGCTAGATCTTGCAGCGCACTTGACCATTCATGTACTCATCTAGGTATCCCGTCACAAGGAGGGATATGACCGCAATAGCAATAGTTAAGGCAGCCAATGTGGAAGCTGTGGCTACGGTAAAGCAACTTGAGTTCAATTAATTCAGGAAGCCTGTTTTGAATTTGGGCCAAACAAAAAGGGCGAAAGAACTGAAATACGTCCCTCTTCCAGCAATCTACAACTAACGATTAAATGACGTCACACATGGAGAGCCCATAACCATTCAAGTCACCAACTCATTTGACACTGGTTCACCTTCAGACTTGGGCTCCGCATCTGCTTTTGGCTCAGCTTCCGCCTTCCCCTCGGATTCCGCCTTCGGTTCGGCTTCTGCCTTCCCCTCAGACTCCGCCTTAGGTTCGGCTTCCGCCTTCCCCTCAGATTCCACATACGGTTCGCCGTCACCCTTTTCCTCTGATTCCCCCTTCGGTTCGGCTTCCGCTTGCGCCTCAGACTCGGCTGCTGGCTCAGATTCGGACTTCGACTCTGACTCGGAGACAGGTTCAGGCTCCGCTTGGAATTTATCGCCAGACGTGTCTCCAATGGCAGACTTCACAAAGTTGGATGCCGTTTGGCCCTCGGGAACTCCATCAGCCAACTTGGACAGTGCGTACTCGAAAAGAGGTCTGTCCCCCGCAGACGCCTCGCTCAGGAAAGTCCTCCCGAACAGGAATCCGGGGCGGACCTCCCGCAATTCGTCCACCACGAAGCTGGACATTGATTCGCTCGGGTACCTCACAACCCACGAGTCGTTGGCGTCCACCAAACCTGGCACGAGCGAGACTGTTCCCGACAGATCCTCTGCCTTGAAAGTGTCCTCGTTGCGGAGAACATTGCGCACGCCATCTGCTTCATTAAATACCTTGCCAATCCACTGCGATGTGAGCACGCCCGCCAGGGCCTGATCTTGGAATGACATGTTGAAGGCGCTCACGTCTGGACCACCCAAAAGTATGAAGGCTGCGCATGAAGCAAGGCATCTGTTGGACTTGATGCATTGTCTAATCGACAGAAGCGTAGCATTATGGGTGTAAACATGAAAACAGGGTCATTGGTTGAGTGGCGACTTTTAATTGAGCAAGTCCTCTGCAACAACTGGGGATAATGCAGACTTCGGAGCCAGGATGCACACGTTTGCGAATTAGTGCAAAGGCACATACGAGAACCCAGCAGGCGCCAGAGAAGAAAACCAAAATTGGGGTCGGAATACAATAATTTGCACTCCCCATACAGATGCCATGCACAAAAGTTGCTCCAAGAATATTTGAGGATTCGCTATTTACTGAATACCAGCAGCTGTGCAACTGGAGATTGCACAGTTGCATGGATTTCAAATCCACAGCAGTTCCATTCATAAATCCAGTATGTTGATTCGTATGTTGGGATTCAGTAGCATTTCTTCTGGCGATCATTCCATAGCACGCGCAGATCTTTTGCCCACCTGTGTGCACTCCTTTTGGCTGCTGGCCAGGGGCTAAGGATGAGAAGAGCTTGTCCTTCTTGGCGGGGCTCAGCTTCAACAGAAACTTCTCAAATTCCGCAGTGTCACTGAACTCAGGGACTGCCTGACCACCGCCTGCAAACGCAGCAGCACCAACGTCAGAAACCCACAGAGAAAATGCAAGCTAACCCATGAGCCTGACCAGGTTCAATGTTGATGCGGGAATTGAGCCAAAGCACACCGGCTATCAAGCTATTGTGAATGCAAACTCATCCTATTTGTGCTGGTCTCCATGCACAGGTCCGTGCACAGCATTGTAAAGGAGATGCACAACCAAAACAGATATATAAGCAAGGCACACGTGTTGTAAAATGGCTCAGTTGCTGCATGATGGATATTCTGCACGGCTGCAGCTTGGCCACATCTTTGCCATTCATACCTTCTTCATCAAGAGACGGCATAGATATGTCAAGGCCACCTGCGCTCCCGTCGTCTTGCTTCACAGGCTCGCTTGCACCAGGTTCGCCGCCCTGAACCTTTGGTTCTGAGTCTGGGATATTGGATTGAGGAATCTGCACTGTTGCGACCTTGGATTCTGCAGCTTCCGTGGATGTTTTCAGGAGCACGTCGACGAAATCAGACCCTTCTACCAGACTTGGGTCTGCGAGATAGATACGGCCAAATGCTCAAACACAATACAAGGGCGAACAAATTGGGAAAAAGTTGTCGAAGATGCTGGAAATCGAATTTTCGTTGGACAACGATTTTACAGCAGTGTTTCAAGGAGCGCTTGTGTTGCAGGCTCTGTGCTTGCGGCTGCACGACTTCAATACCCCTGTAAATCACAAATACCATGCCCCTGTATGTACTGCTGAGAGTGAACGCAGTCAACCTCACATGTGAAGCAAATCACCACACATACAATTATATACAATAACCGTTCATACTACCTTTCATCACATGGCAAGCGCAGAAACAGTCCTAGGTGTCAGTGATAGGACAATAATTACGTGGCAATTCTCGTCTTGACGGCATGCAATCCGTGCAATTCAACAATTATTGCCCACAGAATCTGTGTCCTCAGCACAGTATTCTGTTTCAAGCAATGTGCCACTCGCTCGCTGGTTCCAGGGCCTTCCCCGCATTCTCACCTATACGGACAAGCCCAAACTCAAAGAAGGGCTGCGCCGTGTGCTTCTGTTCACGGACGAATGTCTGGCCGTACAGAAAACCTGGCTGGATCTCCCGAAACTCGTCGACAAACAAGTCGAATGCAGTTCCATTGGCAAATGCTGTGTGCCAGGACTCCTTTCCGTCAAGGGTCCCCATACGCAAGTCAATGGAGCCTTTCAGGTGGTCCGGCACAAAGCCTGTGCCATCGTGGATAACGTCCTCAAAAGACCCATCGCCCCCAAAGTACTTCCCAATCCAGCGATCAAGGAAGAAGTGCATCGTCACTTGATGCCCAACAGAAATGCCGGTGTCCTGGAAGCTTTTGTAGCCATCCACCACGAACCCTGCTCGCAGTGATGAATGAGCATCGGTGTATATACCGCATGCAAGCAATTCATTGCACAACACTCCAAATGAACCGCGCATGCAAGCAATGCAAAGAGAAATTCCCGTGGCGCCGATCAAATCAGCGGCACATTTTGCAGCCCTTCAGGCAGAGGGCATGAGCAAGCAACTTAAACTCATTCGAAGGGTTAACTGTCTGGGTTTTGGATGTCCCCGCTGTCCCCTTCCATGGGGAAGATCAATGGGGCGCCTGTGAGGCACGCTTGACAAAAGGCCAAGCAGAAACATTGCGGCACTGTTTTCCACTTATTCACTGTGTAGATCTGGCAGTCTTCCAAACGATGTCGAAGCAAAGACTCCAAAAATGACTCCTCACAGCCACCTGTGAAAGAAAAATGGGCTTTCCATGCCCACAGAAAACGAAGGCCATGGAAGTCCAGCAGGTGGTGTAAGAACCTCGGAGCCTTGAATTTTAACCAAGACATCACAATATGTTTCAGGGCTGTGGGAAGTAAAGGGAATCTTTAAAAGTGCAAGTTTGGAGTTGCAGTTTGAACCGAAATACCACTCAACTTCCAAATATCATTCAATAGCCATTGTCCTGTTGGAAAATATTCGGCATCAGTGGTCATCTTTCACATACCAAAATAGAGTCCCTCTGGCATTGGACCCGGCTCTGCGGTCTTGAACTTGTGGGCTCTCTCTCCCTTTGTCAATGTGGAGAGCCACGCTTTGTAGTCAGCTACTCCCCTGAAATCTGGCGTCGCGACGTGACGCTCTGCACAGACCCACACACAAGACTTTGAATACTCTACAAATTGTTCACATGGGAGAGGTATTCACGATTTTTCCATCGTGGAGTCGCACAGAATGCCATATCCTGCAGTGCTGAACGCTGTGCCAGATTTTGTCGTCGTAAGTGGCACAGCGACAGAAAAAATATAGTTCAAGCAAGTGGACCTGGATTCCACCAGAATTTGAGGCCAGTGGAATGTCTCCCAGGATCAGGCTTGGTTATTACACCGTAAAAACTGATCGTATTGACGTTTTTATGCGTAAAAATAGTTTTTACGTTTTTACGCCTAAGAATGCGTAAAAATACGTAAATACAACGTAAAAACTGCCTGGTGTACAAAAGAACGGTACATACAGATTTGCAGAGTCCGGAGAGTGGCAGCCAGACGCCTTGGAAGAGGCAGAAGATGAGCTTTTGTTAAACGCCATTATCGCCCTTGCCAAGGACGAGGTGGACATTGTGTTGCGGGTGCTGGAGATGGCGGAGGACTGATCATTGTACGCAACTTTTGTCGTGTAATCTACGTGTGCCAGGTAGCCGTAAAAACGTAAAAATAGCCGTAATAATAGGCGCTTTTGCAAATTTACGTTTTTACGCGTAAAAACGTAAAAGTAAAGAAGTAAACGTAAACGCAAAAACCAAGCCTGCCCAGGATTATCTTGCTGGATTACTTTTGCTGCAGATCACTGAAGTCTAAAATGATATCTTCATAGATCCATACAGCCTCTGCCCCGATCTGTGGGCAATGCGAGTTTGCGGCTATCTCAACTATTTCTACAATGTTTGTAATATGAATACTCGATATGAAAAATTGAGTGTGCCCAGCTTCTGTGAACACCATTTTTAGTAGTTTCAGCAGCATAAGCAACAGGTGGATTTGTGCGAGATCCTGCTTCTGGAACTATCAAACGACATCGTTTGTGCTTCGCAGCAATCAGTTTTTACTCACTTTGGTGAGCGCGGCCTGGCTTTTTCTTCGGTTGGCCATCATTGCTTGGACTCTGAGGGGGGGAGGAGCCCGTGGAAGTGTCTTGTTCCTGGAGCACCATACCAAATATTGCCACCGAAAACACCAGGCCAGCATAATTCCAAAGTTCGATTGTATGCATGACTCATCGAGGTCAGAACAGGAGATGGTAGGCGCACGAGCGCAGTAATATATTGCATCACACTACTTGTCAGTTTTGTTTATGTGCGGGCTTTGTTTTAGCCCCGTAAAAACTGATCACGTTTATGTTCATATGCGTATAAATAGTGTTTTTGCGTGTAAAAATAGTTTTTACGTATTTACGCATAAAAACGCGCAAAACTACGTAAAGACGGCCCCGTGTACATAAGGGCAGTACATTGAGACTTGAGCAGTCCGGGAAGTGGCAGTCAGACGCGCTGGAACGGATAGAAAAACGAACTTTTGTTCCATACCGTCGTTTCCATTGCCGAGAGCGAGGTGGACACTGTGTTGCGCGTGCTGGAGATGGCGGAGGACTGATCAGTGTACGTGACTTTCACCGTGTAGCCTGGGTGTCCCAGCGAGCCATAAAGACGTAAAAACAGCCGTAGAAATAGCGCCTTTCACAATTTAACGTTTTTTGCGTGTAAAAACGTAAACATACACGTAAAGACCAAGCTTGTTTATGTGCAAACAAAGCAATTGCCAGGCCGCATTTCACATCTTCTTCTTGACCTGGTTGTGAAGTAAATCAGAGCAGCCATGCGCAGTCGCAATTCTCTTGTCATTTTGATGAATTGCTGATGCAAGCTGATGTGACATAGAAATGATTGAAGCAGGTTCATTTCAATGATGGAAACATGGATTTCCTGGGAGAGTAGTTCAGAGTCCAAGAGAATGCCATCAAACCATTCTCCAGCACAGTAACCATTTATGGAGTGCTTGCTGTTGTGGCAGATTTGAAGCGGCTCGACGTGTAGGTGCTTTGACTGGCAAATCAAGTCCCCCCTATTGGTGTGTGCTCGGGAGGCAACCAATTCTTCCAAATGGTTGCATTCCACACCCAACCTGCTGGGCAGCAAAATCAACGAGTTTTGCTTGAAGGGTCTCCACTTGATTGTTTGGGTCATCAAGAGCCCGAACCACAGCTTCTGTACATCCACAAAATAAAGTGCATGTCATCAACTGTCCAAAGAACTCCATCACCGGCAGTACAAAGCATGGTTAAACCAGATTGTAAAAAGCAAAAAAGCCAAACACGTCATATGAAAGCTCATTCGATCTGAAAGTCTTATTGCTTTCACCCCATTTGCGAATCGCATGGACGGCCTGCTGCAACTGCTGTGTCAACCAGGCGTGTTATTTACAGTACGCGAATGCCTTACGTTTTATGCTTAGAAGCATGAATTTGCAAAAAGGGGCTAGTTTTACGGCTTAATTCACGTTTTTGCGGACCCCAGGTTACACAATGAAAGTCGCGTACAGTGATCAGTCATCCGCCCCATGGAGTCTGCGCAACATAGTGCCCACCTCGCCCTCGGCAAGACATGGCGACATTGAACAAAAAGCCGTTTTCTATCCACCCCAGCGCGTCTGGCTGCTGCTCCCCAGACTATGTAAGTGTGGATGTACTGTATTTATGTAGGCTGGTCTGTGCTCACATTCTTTTACGCCTTTTACACGCTGGAACTATTTCTACGCATAAAAACGTAAATATGATCAGTTTTACCGGCGTAGTGAGCAAGCCTGGTGTCAACCCCCACAGTGAAGTGACCGCAACTGTGCACCAGGTCGTCAGAAAGTAAATGCCATTATTGAGGATTGCAGAGGGGATACCCAAAATCAAGCACATAAAGAGAGAAATTCCATTGGTATCATCTGCAATTGTTGTGGACTCTTAACGATACGTCGATCATGGGGATGTTGTGACTAACCTGTCGCAGCCAATGCACATTCGAAGAATACACTGTCTCCAGATTCTGCAGGCACCAGGTAGCCTCTGCCCATGATGAAGCCAGGCCTCACAGAGCGCAGCTCTTCGACGATGATGTCGAAAGGGGAGCCGTCAGGATAAGTCACAATCCAGGACTGCTTTTCGTCAGTGTAGCCCGTCGCAATGCTCAAATTGCCGATCCGGTCAGCAGGGGATAAATCACTTTCGCTACGAACGTTGATGACAGATTGATTGCCATAGAACGTCTTCCCTGTCCAGGAAGGATAAACTTCAAATATGAACCTCATGGCCCCTGAGTTTCCATGAGATACTCGGGAATCACTGACTTCGGGGTGGGTAGAAAGCATTGCACCTGCACACGTCAACCAGCAACACCAACCAATGCTGTAATCCTTACAGAAATGCAAAGTAAGTTGCGAATGGCATGTTTAGAAGAGAGTGTACAAGACCATATAGATAGGCCATATAGACCGTATAATATGCAAGCATTTCTACCCCCAAAAAAAAAATCACAACACCAGCTCTGTCTTGCAGCAAAGACGTGTCCCAAGTCTCGCCCAACAAAACCACTCCTCCTTGCACCTTAGCAGGCACGTTCGATTGACTGCAGCCCATAAGTGGAATCGCCATGCGATCAGCAAATTCGAAATCCGCAAAATTCACTTCCACAGCTTACACACACTGTGGGGACTGTGCAAGACTCGCTTGTGCGCCATCGAAGACTGAACAATAGACATGAAACGCCATTACCGGCATTACATGCCACCCTCCATTGTAGCTCAGATGATTGAACACACCTTCGTAGGGCCCAGTTGGGATGTCCCCAGGACCTGCAGCTCTGAATGCTTCCAACCTCCCGTCTTCGCCCAGCGATTGCAGCCACAGCACGAAATCCTCCTTGTTATTCAGTTGGGGAATTGGTGGGCCTGCCCATGGGCACACGTGGACCGCGATTCAGCGACCGACCGTGCGTCACTGCTGGCTCGTGCCATCTCTGAACAACTTGCTTCCGAGCGATTTCGACACCGCCCTGTTGATTCGCGCAGCAAACGAATTCCCACAAAGTACGGTCTGCGCAGGCGGCTGTCGCCTCAAGCAGCTTGGCGACCTTCAGCGATGAGGGCGCCAAATCTAGGCGCCGCGCACGCTCCACCGTGGTTCTACCATTCAGACAACCCCAGTCCGCCGTCCGCTGGCGAAGTGCTCAATTCCTTGTGCCGCTCCGTCACCATCTGACAAGGGCTTTCCCCCGCCCCAGCGCAACTGCCCCGCCCCTGCGCGGAATGGGCGCACGCCGCCCACATCTCTCCACCGCGCAAAACATTGTGCAGCGCGTTCGTTCCGGGCAACGGGGCGCGTCGCGCATGCCAATGGCGGAAGAGTACCGCATCGCCCCATGGCAGCATGGAAAAATCGCGGCATCCTCATGCTCGCGGCCATCCGCCGCGCGGCCAAGTGCGCACGCGCGCACCCGCACGAGCTCCGCGCCTCAGGGCCGGGCCATCACACCTTCCTGCTGGGCGACCGCCCCCGCCGCGAGCTGCAGCAGCGCCAGGAGCGCGATCAAATCGCGCCCGCGCACCGCCATTGCCACCCCTGCGTTCTTCGAGGGTGGTCGGATATTGCTACAGGCCCTGAGATGTTAGATATGCAGCGGGTCGGGCGGCTGCGCGACCGTGCGCAGCCCCCCGCTGCCCCCCTTTTGCCCCTCCTCCCCTTCGCTCCGAACGGGAGGTTGGCCTCGGGAGCTCAGGGAACGCGGTGTTCACAATCGCGGGGGCATGACGCGCCCAGTGTCGCGATCACATGCCCCGCATGTCACATCGCACATCCAGTTTGCCGCAATGGTCGCCGGGGGTGGTTTGGGGTGCACCCAGCAGCGGCTGCCGCAGAAGTTCGATACGTCACATCGACCTTGGCAAATTTAGGTGATGTCATGCAGGCGGCCCTGAAGGTGCTTGGCCTTACAAGAGTGTGATGAAGGCGAGGAAGGGGGCCCTCTTGTGGTTCCATCACTTCCCCCATCGGTAAACCATTACAGCAAAAGGAAATGTGGCTGAGCGACAATTTGGCCAAGTGACATTCTGGTTCGGAATATGGTGGCCTGTCAGCACCACGCAGGAGTGGTGTCACGTTGATTCGCAATGGGCTGACTCGAGCCACGGAGTGTGAAGTTTGCCGCTGGGCCGGAGCCCAACCTCCGGGGCGCGAGCGAGGCGGCAGCGGGCGTATGGGGCAAGGAAGCACACCCTTCTGGTGGAGAAAGCTAGCTTACGTGGCCGTTCTCGTCGCCGGAAATCGGGGATTGGATGACCCCCGCGACCGATCGGGGATCCCTTCTGTCTATCTTGGGGTTCTTGTGCCGTTTGGGCACACGCGACAAGAGTAGCACTTCATTGCGCAGACGCCCTGAGCCCCTTCGCCTTGGCGCCGATTTCCCAGCCTACTTCTGGCTATAATCACCTGCCGTTATGCGACTTGGTGTCAATGCTCCTTTGCCTGGGACTTCGAATAATGAAAAGCGTGGGACCAAATGGGATCAACGGCACAGTTGTGGTGGATTACCTTCTTCCAATTGCGTGTACCGCGCATGGCAAATCAGTGCCTTTGCAGCAAGCCTGACGACCGCTAGTATGCAACATCACAGTGTTTGTGATAAATTGCAATTCTTTCACTTTTCAACTTAAATTTCCCACTGTCGACGCCCAACCGGGAAAAGAATTCACCCTTCCTCACACAGGAGTTGTGTGCTCGATTAATCGCACTTAGGTCTTTTGTCTTAGATACACAATGCCGTGTATTGCAGACAAAAAATGGTAAATGCAGCAGATCGCACAGAGTTATGTGGCGACAAGCTCTTCTGGGCCCCAGGGCATCCGCAAAACAATCGGCAACTTCCGTGTGGCCAACACATTCACAGGAGCAACAGCAAAAAGCGATGCCACATCTCCAGCCCCTCTTTTCCCTGTCTCACACTCGCTTCTTAAATGCGACAGGCGTTGACAAGCACCAATGAACTAAAAGCTATGCAAACACTCATGTGCTGATCTGACCTTCGCAGCCTTTTCACAGCTACTTGCTGCCTCCACTAAATCGCTGTCAAAAACTAGTTTGTGCTGACTTGTCCTTCGGAGCCTTTTTCCCAGCTAATTGCTGCCCCCAGTTGAGTTTATAATCCATATGGTTTGTTTGTGATCGATCCAATTAGTCACAAAGGAAGAGCCAAGCAGTCATTTGGACCACTGCATGGATCTCTCCCTGATTGGCCTCGGAAAGGGACTTGCATGCCCCTAAGAATCTCGCGTGGCGGGGGCCGCACCACAGAGACTTTAAGCGGCATGTAATGGCCGTCCGTGTATCGACGCAGGTCCTCTGTGGCGGCCTCCCAACGGCCCTTTTTGTCGATGCGGTTCCTCGCTGAGTGTTACCTGGCAGCACGCGTGCAGGTCGTGACTGGGCGTCTTGAAGCAGATGATTTGGGAGAACGGCCGACCCAACTCGCGCTCTGCATCCTTCCATGCGACCGATATTACATGGTACGCCAGGTGCGACTTATTTTTTGGTACAAGCAACGATAGTCCGCCAATGCCATCACGCACACAACAAATTCCCACCGTTCATATCGGTCCTTGGGCTCATACCGGTGGTGCCGTACTTGCGTATGACGATGGTGGCGAACAGCATAATCGTGCCATAATCGTCCGTATTTCCCGACCATCCAATGGGAGGCTCTGCTTGCCCGCCCACGAGGTATCGATCAGACCGTATCTAGACAGCAGCGTCGAGGAACGCCGACGCAGTTAGCCCCTTTGGAACCTTGTCGGCGACTTTGACAAGGCCGCATTCAAACAGAGGCTTGTCTCCAAAGCCAACGGGCCTCGGAAAAGTCCTGCCGTAGAAGAACCCTGGCTCAATTTCTCGGAGCTCGTCCACCATGACAGCGGTCAGTGACTCATTGGAAGACCTCACGATCCATGAATCCGCAGAGTCTGCAAATCCTTCCCCAATTTTCACCTCGCCAACGAGCATGTCAGGATCGAATGCCGCGTCGTTTCTCAGGACACTGTGGGATGAGCCCGTTCGGTCAAATATCCTTCCTACCAATTGCTGCATGAAGAACTGTACAATCGCACGATCTTGGGATAGTATATTGAAATCTTCGAGGCGCGGCACGTCCGACACGATGAAAACTGCAAACACAACATCAAAAGCATTCATGAGGGTCCCAATGCAATCAAACTGCAACTTCCCTGCGCCGCGTGTTCATTTTCACATCAGATAATTGAGACCTGCCGTCTTCCCCGGACACCGCCAAAATAGCTGCGATATGGTTCAGAGAACTTTCGGCTGCGTACTGCTGCCAAACTTAATGCCGATAAAGTTTGGCACTGACTTCATCCTTCCCTCACCCCGGTTAGTTGCGCGTCACATATTACACAAAGCCAGCGTGCGGTGAATAAATGGATATGTCCAGCAATCAATTGGCCGCGGTATTGGACCGAATTACTGTGTGGTGGTGGTTCACCGAATGTCTGGTTGTTATATGATCGTGGTGCTTGAGGTACGCTTCACTAAAAATTGTGGGTCTTAGAGAGGGCATAAATTATTTTGCATTCAACAGTGAGGTGCCAGGAGACGGCCGTTTTCCAAGGAGGCAACTGTTGTGTATGTGGCCATGTAGATTGAATTGACCTCCAGCACAGAGATTGACGTGGTAATTTCCAGGTACTACGCTGTCGGCTAAAGTACTTACTGCGGAAGAATACACTGAAATTTGTATGTAATCTCAAGGAAAGCGGCGCCACCCAGTGCTTCAGTGCAATCTACACTATTGCGCAAAAATCAGCTGAATGTTACCAATGCCTATCGCAGAATCTTCATTGATCTAAAGCCCTAGTTTCCAGAAACAGCTAGAGAGATAAGTTTAATTGATATGCAGATAACCGGTGAATACAGCAACATCACTGGTGAGTAACCAACAACATTGAGGCAAGTTGCCATGACATTTTTGGCCATCTGGCATGCACTACCTCAACTAATATAAGCCCATAATATCACTAAAATCATGCGATAATCTGAAGTCGAGCCGGCACCTGGGGCCCTTCTGCACAAATGCCAGTTTTGATTTTTATTACCTGAATACACTCCTCTCGGTCTCGACCCCATACTGGTGGCTTCAAATGCCTGCTTCCTCTCGCTTTCATCCAAGTTGCTGAGCCATGTTTTGAAACTGACGGCATCGCTGAATTCTGGCACAGCCAATTTGGCCCCTGCACACACGAGATGCTGGCGCTGAGACCCATCCCGCAGGAGCGCGGTGCTGCAGAACAAATGAACATAGTATGCACATGTCCATTCATACTGCCGTATTCTCCATATTCTCCGTACACATGACAACGCAAATGTGAACCCATAGAATTTCTCGACGAATCCATTGCATAATGCAGCAGGGACGACCGCATGTGCATCATTGCGAATATCCTTGAATACCGTTGCATTGGGTTCCACTTCACCTGTTTCATCCTGGCCGCCTGGCGCGGGATGTGTGTGGTGCTTGCTCGCCTTCACGCCAGTGTCCCCCTTCTGCGTGGAAGGTGGGCTCGCTTCCGGCTCCACCGCGATTGCCGAGGCAAATTCGTCTTTCACAGCTGCTTCGATGATGTCAGAGGCAGTCTTCCCTTTCGGGACGCCATCCGCCACTTTGACAAGCGTGCAATCAAAGAGCGGTTTGTCGCCAGGAGAAGCGTCGCTCAGGAAGGTCTTCCCAAGCAAGAAGCCCGGTTGTATCTCTCGCATTTCATCCATGAGGAAGTAGGACACAGACACAATCGAATTTCGCAGGATCCATGACTGCTTGCCGTCCACCAAGCTCTGGCCGAGCGCGACAGACCCGCGAAGATGCTTGGATCTAAATGCTGTTCCGCTGCGTACAATATTTTGCACTTTTCCGTTGCCCAGGAAGTGCTTGCCCCGCCAATCTGGAGCCAGAGATCGAAACGTAGCGGCATTCCGAAATGATACGTTGAACGTATCGAAGCTGAGGCCAGACGCTCCCACCATTGTACCTGCCATGAACCGGATGTTGATAAGCCACGTGTTTAAAACTTTCTACTTGTGACGCTGTCAACATGCAAACCTTTTGAAGCCATGGAGGCTGTTCAGAAATCTGTTGCTGTGCTTATTGATGCTGATGCCTAATGTGGAGGCACTGATATCGAATATGTGTAACACTCCCTGCACGTGGCCCGGAACCTCGAGCTCTTATCACAATGAAAAAAAGGGCCAAACAACACTTTTGCGAGCACACATAAAACACATTCCATCAAAGTTTTGCATGCCAAGAACACAAAATAACACAAACCCGTAAAATTTGTACACGTTTGAACACGTGTTGTTTGGCACTTTTTTCCCTAGTGCATAGCTGACGAATTCCTGAAATGGAGGGCTGGGTGATGGGGAAATAAGTTCTCCAGTACCAATCCAATTGGGGCTGCACTCCTTCGCAGTTCGTCGCGCATCTGAAAACGCATTTCCAACATCGTCAAATGCAATCAAGAGGCATGCACACAAACGCGAGTGTGACGAGCAAAAGCCCTTGCGTCTTATTCTATTGAAACGAATTGCGTTTAGAAACCAAGAACGGTCGGAAGTCATGCGCATCCTTGAGCCCCACTGATGAAAGGTTGAACAGGAAGTTGTCGAAATTGACAGAATAATTTCGGGGAAAATTTCCCACCAGCACCTATTGGAGACATGCTGCTAAAGAGCGACGACGTGAGCTTTCAGTACACCCAATATCAGCATCCCAGCTCAACGGCAAATAGATTCCTGTCTAGCATTGGACACATGTACTAAGATTGTTCGTTTCCCATAGAGGGTTCCCTCTTCATAGTTTTGTTAATGAAAACGGCCTGCTGAGGATCAAAACAATTATTCAGCTGCAGGGGGCCAATATTATGCACTGTTATGATAACAACAGTCAGAGCATGTCGGTGTATATCGCTGTCTTGATGTCTCAATTGTGTTACGCAATCATGTGAGCCCTCTGGATGGCATTGATACACATTGAAATGTGTACGGTGTATGGGGTGTATGGCGTGTGTAACGTGTGGTGTGTATGGTCACAATTGTGACCATGGAGCAAGAAAATAATATCACTGTTCAGGAACCACTAACTGTGTATCATGCCTACTGTTCTGAGGCAATAAACTTGCAAGCATTCGATGCCCGCAGTTTCATAAAATGGGCTTCCATTCTGGCAATAAGCTCTTCCAATGCACATCAAATTTCTGTAAACAAAATTGCCTCCGTGCAGATTGCGAATATGTACGCAGGGATGACGAATAGGGCGATTCGCAGCTGTTTGGCAAGAGTGCTGCAACGTGAAGAATTTAAATTCTGCACTGCAAATTTGCAGTGCGGCAAAAAGCAAATCCCTGGACATGTAAAGCCTATGCCAGCTGGGCCCTGGTTCCAATGTTTTGGACACTTTTGCCCTCGCAGGTCAGGTAGTACCCACCATAGTAAGCTCCCAATGGCATTGGGCCAGGCTCTGTAGACGCGAACAAACGTGTCCTCGCCCCAGCCGATAATCCAGCGATCCATTCCTGCAATTCGGATGGACTGCTGAAACTTGGAATTTTCGGAGCTGGGCCTGTCGTTGCACACAAATGGGATGTCCATACAGCATGAAGTGGAAATTATGAGAAATGTAGCACTGCTGCTGGCCGACTCTTCCACCAAAATGTTTTCAGTGAGAACAACAGCCGACAGAGTACAACATATACGAATACAGCTGTCGCAGCTTCAAGGGTACCGATTTTCCTTCTGCGATAGTCTGCAAGCTCGAGCTCATGCCAGGAAAATTCACTGTCCGGGAAAATTCACTGTCTGGGGTCGTGCACTGTCTGTGGCGGGTCGATTCAATTCGACACAGCCAGCAGCGAAGGTTACAAGCTCGACGAGATTAATGACGCTGCACATACATCCAACACACCGTTGTTCCAAAGACTCCACTCGACAACCACACATGCATCCCAGGTTCCTGAATAACTGGTGCGGAATCGGTGGCATGTGCTGCACTAACCGTATCGTGGTGGCGCTTGTTTCTTGTCCAAGCGTTTCCTGGGAGGACGAGGGGCCTTGGTAGGCTCTTTGTCCTGCGAACCAAATCACAAATGCCTCTGGTCGTCGCAAAAATATACCTGTACACATTGGCCCCTCCATGACGCAACAGCGTTGGCAAGCATCCGACCATGCAAAAAGATCAGTGAACGCTGAATATCGGCAATCATTGGGCACTGTGCATATTTGCAGTGCGACAGTATGCCAATGATGTGAATTTCCTCCTGCTTTCAGCAATAATGTGTACCTGCGTATGTGCGTATTTAGCATGCCTGAAATTACCTCCTCAAGAGACCATTTGAGAACTGTGGACGTAGAAGTCCATGAGACACGATAGTCTTTCACTCCATTCGAACATCCCCGAAGAACTTCTGCAAATTCGCACACAAGGCTTCCCACTGAAGTGGTGGAAAAAATATGTGGTACTTTTCGTTAGGGTAATAAGTGCTATACACTAATGGAGCTCTTATTCAGTTGTTCACAGTGATCCCAGCTCACCTCTTTGGCCCCCAGGACATCTGCCGCTTTCTCAACTCTACCTTTCAATCCTGATGGGACTTCAATACCTTTTGCGAGAAGATCTGACAGTGCACAGAGAGCATGCTTCAACGCGGCTGCACATACCACGCTGTCTAAAATTCCAAGGATGCTCACAAGGACACGTGCGATCCAACACATTCACATGTTTTATGACAGCTACATTTCACTATGAAATTGTGCACCACCCAAAGTTGCGCCTCCTTACGGCAACCCCAATTCCGGCGGGTGTTGCCATTATTGTATTGTTCGATGCTTGCATTATCCCATACACTACGGCTCATCAATGTGCCCACAATAGAAGCAGTAACAACAGAAAAGTTCGCTTCATGGCTGCTTAGATGCCAGATTCGTCGTGCTAATGCCCACACGAGATTCCGCTTTCACTACACAGGTGAGAACACATGCCCTCTGCAAATTTGACGACCGCCACTTCCAGGGACTGATGCCACTGTTTATCCACAACTAATGAATGCACCCACTATGCATGTGAATTATGAGATAAAGTCGCGCAATTTGCCTTCACAAGGCACTCGCCACATAAAACCGTCATTTCGCACGGCGACAGGGACATCCATGCTGATGCTAATCAATTACCTGTGTTCAGTAGTGCATATTCAAAAAATGGCTCGTCTCCAGCAACTGCAGGCAAGAGGTAGGATCTGCCCAAAAGCAGTCCCGGCGACACGGTACGGAGCTCTTCCGTGACGAAATGGAATGGCGATGCGTCCGAGTATGCAACGACCCAGGATGGCCACGTATCCGCAAACCCATGCCTGGCTTCAAAACTCCCCGTCAAATCGTTGTACGCTGGCCACCGTGATTTATTTGCAACAACGTTTTCCAGCGTTTGGCCTCCATAAAAATTCTTTCCTTTCCAGGCGGGTAGTACGTTGAATATGAAGTGAATGGTTGGAGCATTCCCAGCAGAGATGCGCGGATCGCTGATCCTTGGAATCGAGGACAGCGTGATGCCTGAGTCAGCAAATCGTGCACCGAATGTGGTTAGTTGACAATCGCTGAGCCAGACACTCTTCGAGCACAAGCCATTCAGTCTACAATACTGAAAACTCCACAAGTCAGCACTCGTTTAGCCATGTAGACTACCATCATACAGTAAGAGTGCGTCAAGCGTTTCCCATCATTATTTGCCTGCGCTGTGCGACAGCAGGTGGCGATATGTGGTGTTTCTTCCATTTCCCCATTCCACAACACCAAAGAACTTCGGAACATGGATCGTCCACATGAGCCACTGAGCGCTAGGATGCATTCACATCAAGTCAAGTCGTCGTGGCTGAAAAGCCCAGGGCTATGAATTGTTCGCTGGTAAGTCAAGTTTGAACAACAATATGCACGTTATTTTTTGCATCCAAATGAGGCCATCTGCTGCTCATCAGGTGGACATTTGGGCAAACTCGTAAGCACATGGCGCACAATGCTCTTTCAAAGGCGCAGCTCTTTCCTGTTCGTGGCATGTTTCACGTGTCGAGCATCCAATGCGCACCTTCATAATATCCCAGTGGTGCCTCCCCTGGCTCGGAAGAAATAAAAACCTTGTGCCTCCCTATTCTGCCCAGTGAGTTCAGCCATGTAATGATTCTGGCTTTGTCGTCCAGCCTGGTTTCTTCAACACCTGGTCCAAATAAACTGGGCTATTCAAACTGCCGAAAGCAAACTGCACTTCGCATGTCCAATTCCTGCAGCTCGATGGGCGCCTGTTGAACAAAGTTGAAGCACAAGATTTCGAAAATGGATCCAGACCACTCGCGACTGTTGATTGAGATGCACGCCATACGCTCAGCATCCCACTCTTGCCGCAGGCTGTCTGCTCGCCTCGCACTGCCCTGTTGAATTCCAGAAACGTTCTCACGGGGCTTTCGTTGTGCAGAGCACGTGCTTCGATAAGAAAGTATCAGGGGCTGCACATTGCGGGCACACTGCTTGCGATCGAGCGCTCATCTGCTATTGCAGGGATGGCGAGAGAAGGGCAGTTCCAGCGAAATACACAGGCCTGCTCCACATGCGCACACGCAGCGCATCGCGCGCGACTGTGGCCGGACACGCGGTACACATCCGGCACGCCAATCCATGTAGATACCGGCCATCGCCACGACGAGATGCGCGGGAAGTTCAAGACCGCCATGCAGCATGCAAGGCGCCGGCCTGAGCTCACCGTGGCCTTCGGGAAGGTTGCGCCGTCTTGCCATGGCCCCTGCCGCGAGCTGCAGCACCACCAGCAGCGCCGCCCATCGGCGGTGCCACCTTGACCCCGCCATGGGCGACACAGCGTGCCAACCTCGCGGGCTAGGTCCCGAATCGTGGAGGACACCGGGGGTGCCCTTGTCCGCCCGATCAGTCCGATCGCTCCCAGCCACAGGAGCCCCGTCGCAGCGGCCTGGGGAAGCGCCGCAGCGCAGGTAGCTACGTAGCTACGACCGGTGGGCGGAGTCGGTGATCGGCATGGCGACAACCGCCCTCCCTCCACCTCCAGCTCCACCCCGGCCACAAAGCCATTAGCAAATTGGCCACCCTCTCAAAGCACAGTTGCCCGAGCGCGCCAAGGCGATGGCGAAACCCAACGTGTGCGAGGCGCTCAGAAGCGAGTCACGAGGATCAGAATGGCAATCTAGGCGCCGTGCCATGAGCAATCAAATGCACCTCGCCGGCTGCACCTTGTAGAATCAAACAAGCAGGGTGCTTGTTCACTGTGTGTGGCAAGGAACGCTACATGCGTGCATCAATGCCAGGCAGAGCTAACCGTATTAGAGAGCTGTGGGCTGCTGGACGAGGTTGCGTTTACCAACTAGGAAACGTGGACCGCCGAAGGATGCCTGTAACAACAGCCGCCCGTTTTTTGCCCCTGAATGCACTGCAATTGAGCCGTGCGATGCCGCAGACGATATCAAACATACTAGATTTAGGGCTGGCTGGGGACTCGAGAAATTCGGCCCAGGATCCTGGGCACTGCATCCGGATGCAGCGTCTGTATGTGGGCGCACGCTGGGACATCAACACACTTCCATGTGGATCCACACGTATGGGCGAATGGGGAATCGCCACCGATTGAGCAATGACGGAAGGTGTGACCGCGGCCGACGATGGCAGGCGGGGGAGCATGAGCGATTGAAGCAACACATGGGAATTGGTCTCAGGAATCTTCAGACAGGGTGAGGCCTTGCAGCCCCCAAGTAATGTTGGTGAGGAGCACGCAAGTGTCCACAGGTCATGGTACCACCTGCTCCCTTGAGGGAGAACTAGCAGATCCCGCGTTAACTCTCTCTCTCTCGATTCTGATGTGTATGTAGACGGTGATTTGGCATTTTCACGATTTGCCCAAAAACAATATTGTGCCCAAAAACAACATTAATGTGGCCACCAGTTGGAAGGAGCCCCTCAGTTGGCTGCACCCCCAACTGGTGGCGACATTGTTTTGGGGCAAAGCGTGAGAATGTCAAATCACCGTTTGCCAAGTCTATTACAATAGACTTGTTGTCTCCCCTGATCTTGCACTACCATAGGCGATCCTTTCAAGCAGCGTTACGTGAGCACTCCCTGCGAACAAGGGGACAGTTAAGGTTGTTGGTAAGTTGCGCACGCATCCTTGGGACATCCTTGTGAGGGCCTGTGTGAGGCTCTCGGGGTGCTGAGGTCAACTGCCGCCATAATCTCTATGGTCGAGAGGCTACAATTGACGTGTTGTTTATTTCGTGAATCACCACACCAGCGCTAGCGTTTTCCTCGCTGCATATTCCTTTGGTAGTTGGCGGCCAATACATTCACTTTTGTTTGTTGCACTGTCTCTGGGCAGCGATTCTTTGTGCCTCTATCTTGTGCGCATGATCATGCGCGTGATCGCTGCCTCATCACGCGGCCCACCTGATGACCGACGTGCTGCAATTTTGTCATGTGGCCGAAATCGCTTCAGCAAGTAAAGCAGACTGTTTGCTTTACTTGCTGAAGCGATTTCGACCACATCGACCACATGACTGTCACAGTCAAACAGATGTGGAGACGATTAGAGGAAATGCCATTGGGAAAAAAAGAGCCAAGTAACACGTGTTCAAACGTGTACAAAGTTTACGGGTTTGTGTTAGTTTTGTGCTCGTAGCGTGCAGAAATGTAATGAAATGTGTTTTATGTGTGTTCGAAAAAGTGTTATTTGGTCCTTTTTTCCTAGTGTGCACAGCAAACTTTGAATGACCTGTATGCACCTACCCTCCTGAAAAAGCAAGTGGGGCCCGGCACACTCGTGTACTTCTGCAGGTGGCGAATTCTAGGTAGTCAGCTTGCCTGGCGGTCAAGTGCTGTCGTCGTTAATGGAGACAACTGGCGCTTTTTGCGTGCCATTTTTAAAATTCATTGAGGCTCATTTCTTTGGATTTTCTCCACACTGAGCGGTATTCTTAACATGATTAACAGAGATTAATGAGCGCGGATGCGCCAGGACCACGTCTGATGGGTTAAAGTGCACAGCACGGAGACCAAGGTTATCGCTCCTCGCGTCAAGCGCTGCGGGCCATAACCTAGCGCGACCGCCGCCGCCAGCCTGCCGCGGAAGCAAGCGCAAAGGATGGTAAGCACGGCGGCGGGGAGAGCGAGCCGCGCTAGCAGGAAGCGGAGAGAATTTTGCGATCAACCCTCTCGCATCGCGGCTCGCCCACGGCCAGCCCCGGCACACCGTCGGCCTGCCCGCACGTTGGGTTTGCAACGAATTGCCGGCGGCGCCCCATCCTCCCGCAGCGTTCGCGCATCGCTCGGGCCCCGCCCCCTGTTTTTCGCGGCCGCGGCACGCTGCGCGCTCAGCCGGCATGCATACCGGTCGGGCGCGGATCACCTCCGCCATTGGTGGCGCCTAGTTTCTCTCCGGCTATGCTCATCGCGCACGGGCCGGCTCAGCCCGCCCGCCGGCGCGCCGGTCAGGAGCGCCCGCACATGGCGGAGCCCTGTGACGGTGAGCATCCGACTTGGGTGGCACCCCTGGTGTCGTGCCTCAGCGCCCCGCTCATCGCGGGGGCAGTCGCGCAGCGCACATGGCGCTCTGACAGTTCACGGCGGTCCCCCCCCTCTCAGGCGGATCACTTTGACCCCCACATGGAGGAATTGGACTACGATGAGGCTTCCCCACGGGGGCAGGGCACGACGCCCGAGCCCCCAGAGGAAGCGGCCGAATGGGAGCACGTCCCTGTGGAGATCGTTGACCAGCCCCCAGCGGGCGAGCGACCAGGCTCATGGGTGGAGCATGCCCGACCGGAGGGACAGATAGAGCGCACGGGCGCCAACCTGACTGTCCCGCGTAGTGGCAGGTAAGCCTCGGCGGCGTGGCGATGCGCGGCAGCCTCATCGACTCCAGCATTTTGCCAAGCGCCGTAGCCGCTCGGATCTCGCTCAATCCATGCCCGAGCCGACGCGTGCCTCCGGGCTGAGGGCCTTTCGCATAGCGCGGACGTTGCTCACCTTCCACCGCTCGCTCGCACTACGGTCGCGGGCTTCCATGGCAGGCGAGCCCTAGCACCGTTCGGCCTCGTGTTAGGGGCGTACTCCAAGGGGGGTCGAGTATTCAGCGGTGTCAGGATCCCGCACCCTCTTTTGTCACCTCGTTCGCGGGGTACATGACCGTATCGCGCCGGCTGCGGTCACCCCGCACGGTGACGTCACCCCCGGTTTCCAGTGCCATCTCTCGTCACACAGGTGGCGCCATGGCGGAGGCCAGCTCTCTGCCCCAGAAGGAACCGATGCCGCAACGGCCGAGTTTCCGCTCCGATTCCATGACATCGAGCAGGAGTTCTCTGTGGCCGACACTCTCTTCGAGGTCGCCACCGCGCGCCACCTCGGGCCGCCGCTGCGACCGCTGCATCTGCTCACCATGACTCTCTGCGAGCACATGGGCATGGTCGACATAGTTCAATACGCTTCACACGAGGTGTTGGCCCTTCGCCCCGCCTCTTGCCCGCCGTGGGCGACGCCCATGGAGGCGGCTCATCGCCAATGGTTTGAGGTACATCTCCCCGCCGTCACCTTCGACGCGACGGCCGTGCAGAGGGACGCGTCCTGGGTGCCCTCCAATACTAGCTTGGCGCTCATCGCGCCTGAGTGGGTCTTCGCCCATGCTCACTTCGAGTGCGTGGCCGAACATGAATTGCCACCCTCCCTCAGCGTGGGGCCAGGGATTAGGCCTAAGGATGCGACTCTGCCGCTGATTCGGCCGCAGGCGCAAGACCGCGACGGCTTTCATGTCCCGCTGCTGCGTTTTCCTATCGACACGCTACCCGCACCGGGTAAATGTGTGCATGTCTACACCTTTCGCAGCCCGCGGCGTGCTGACCACAGCGCGGCTCGCGTCGCAGCGCAGCTCCGTGGTCGTTGGGGTGAGCGCACGGCGGCAGCCGCGCCGTCTGTGGCGCAGCAGAACGCCTGGTGGCGCCAGCCGCCCCAGGGTCGGGCAGAGCAGCTGCCGAAGCGGTCTCGGTCAACCCAGCCGCAGGCGTCACCGCGCAGCATGCACGCGGCCGCTACTTGGGAAGCAGCTGTGTCCGCGGAAAGGGAGCGAGCTCTGCACGACGGCCCCGACCCGCGCGCTCTTCGCGCGACAGGGTCTGCCATTCCGAAATTGGCTTCTCTGCGGGTGGGGGCGTCGGCAGCGGGTGAAGGCAGTCATCCTGTCGACCCGGAGTTGCACCGCCCCCCGGCGCGCGTCCCTACCCCCCCCCCACTCCTTTGGGAGCGGGAGGGACCTCCGCGCCTGTCGACATGGAGTGGCTGAGGGATCCGGAGGACGAGTTCCACACTCGGGCCTCCTCCTCGGCCACGGGAGTACTAGCACCGCAATGGCGCTTTGTGCTCGGCCGAGGATGCCAGCCATTCCGGTCCTGCAGCCATCACACACGGTGGCGCTTCTTGGCCTATGACGAGGCTGGGATTCAGGGCTCTTGGAGCGGGCTGTACTCGGCGGCGAGGAACCTCATCGGAATCCACTCCAAGTCCCCGGGAGTCAACCTCCTGTGCGCCGCCGAGACCGTGGACCAGGTGCTAGCCCGCGCAGAGCCTGTCCTGTTCCCCGGCGAGGACGTCCAGCAGGCGCCAGCCGCCTTGTATAATGTTCTTCGCATTATCACTCCCATCCTCGGACTTGCGGTGCGTGTGGCCAGCCCTCACGCGTGTATTTTCGATCACCAGGCCTGCGCGCAGTGGGTGGCCGGACTTGAGGCGGAGCTCTTCGCTCTGAACGAGGCCGGCTACATAGATGTTCATCACATCTTGCAGCAGTTGAGGGCCAGGT